TCAAAGTGTTTATACAGTTTCATTGTGTGATTTATGAACAGAAACTTTGCCTACTTAGTTGTTTCACTGTTCACATCCACTCTGAATCCTCGGTATCTTGTGAGATGTATATGAAGGTATGTGATGTTTTTGTCATGTTTTAGCATGCATCTTTTAGTGTCAAAATAATGCCACCAGAAGGCTCCAAATGCTCCTGAAAATCACTAAACTTCATTTTTAAATTTATTTATATTTTATTTTATTTTTATTTTTGTTTTGTTTTTGGAGGTGGGGGTTGCTTTTCCCCAGAGACCCCAAACCAGGGTGTTGCCCTTCGATAGGGGTTGACAACTCTGCACTTCCGGTCCTTTGACTTCACTTCCGGTCCTATGACATCACTTCTGGTTCCATGACGCCACTTCCGGTTCGATGGATGACGTCACTTCCGTCCATATATCTTGGTTTGCCCAGCATATTGACAACCTGAAGGGGGTAAGAAGTTAGTGGCTTCTGTTACCCTTTCAATGGTGCTCAGATGTTAGGTTTAAGGACTCATAAGATCCTTATTTTATCTTAATTGGCAATCTGTGATTTCATTCCACCAGTGATCCCCTCTCTGTCTGTTATTGGATGGTTGAATGTACCAGCGTAATGCTCAGATGGGGCACAGTAATCTCGCCCTATCAGATCTAGAGGCAGATGTACGGATTGCTGGAATCCTGTTACTCCTGTCATATCTTCCTCACGTAACCTCTGTTCTAATCACGGCCCTTTCATGGTGTGAGCGTTCAAGACTTCGTGGATTGAGGCAATCAGATTTAGTTGTGCAATCAGCGGCGTTGTTTCAAAAGTGATCATTCGCAAGGCCTCGGTAAGTTCCATAGATACTGCGAGAAAATTAAACTTCTTCCACTGCGCGATGCGCCAAACGTTTCAACGGACAAGCTAGCCTTTAAACGCCTTGTGTGTAACATCAACACAAGTCCCCGCAGATGGGGATATTTGTGGCCCCACATTTGCTAGTGTTAGTCAAGTTGAATCTAAGTCGATGTAACACGCGGTTCTGATTGGATAGAAAGAAGGGAGATAATTCGCTGTTTGCATCTTTTGCCGCTTAGGATTTTACGAGAACCGGAAATATGCCCGTATTAGAACAGAGGTTCGTGAGGAAGATATGACAAGTAACCTCTGTGGAAGAGAATGGTGTCCCAAAGGTCCCTGAGAAGAAGCCTGGTTCTTTGCGACAAACTGTCCTACATGTCATGTGTTTATATCCTTCTGTGAAACTAATGGACTTAAGGTCTATGGAATGTAATTCTGAAACCCTGGAGAGGAGGAGGAGGCCGTTTTAATCGATAGGAACTTTTAGTGATGCATCCTGCATCGGTTCATATGGGAGCCCTCTGGAGCCGATTAGAGTAATAAAGTCAGGTCCCATTTTGGAAAAATAGTGGGTGACACAATGTCCTTAATTTGGAACGATCTGATTTTATGAAGAGACGGATGGGATCTCACTGATAGTCCTTGAACATGCATGACCGATGCTATTGCTGAAGCGATACCCCTCAATGGTGTTATGTTTCAGATGTCTCTGATTCCTGAGATGCAGAATGAAATCAGCTATAATTGGTATGGTGACTGGAGCGTCAATGATTACTTGCTCTCATCTCCACTGGTTGAATCGTCGCCACTTAGCATTATACAAGGCAGCTGTTGATGGTCTAATGCACTCTGTGATAGCCTTGGTAACTCCTGTAGTGAAACCTTGTTCTCTGAGTGAACTGCAGAGTGCTTCTGCGATCGTAAGTCGAAGTTGATGAACATTCTCATAAACTCTGGACTTGGGTTGACTTTTCTGATTGTGCCACAAGGGAAGGCGGAGAGGTTCATCCGCTAATAGTTGCAGAAGCAATGGATACCATGGTCTGGCCGGCCAGTTCAGAGCTACTAGATAAACAATGCAATCGTGCTGGTGTATCTTTGCTAGTACATCCGAATCAGCTTGAATGGAGGAAAAGCGAGGCTACCATCTTGTTCCAAGGTATGGAGAGAGCATCGCCTCGCCCAAGCCTTAGGATCCGGGTACTGGACTGACAAAATCTGGAAGCCGGTTGTTCCTGGAAGCCGCATAAACACGATGCTGCTTCCCAAGCCTGGCTTAAGACTAAGAGTTTGAAGGCTTCCCAATTGTGTGTGCATTCTGTGGAAATCACCTTGTCTTGACAAGAGAGAGAATCGCTTAAGATATTTATCCGTCCCGAATGTGACAAGCTCTGATGTAAGTCCTCATGGAATTGGCTACTTGGAATATATTCTGAGTGATGCTGATGAGTTGTCATGATTTTGTGCCGCCTCTGCTTGTTGATGTATGCTACGGTGGCATTGTCCGAGGAATTGTCCGATACTAACATCACACTTTTCCTGTGAAGATGTGAAGCCCAACAACGAATTGGTTTTAAGAGTGCCAACATTTCCAGGCAATTGATGTGTAGACTGCTCTCTTGGTGTTCCACTGATCCTGAGTCTGCAATGATTCATGTGGACGCCCCACCCCGATCTCGAAGGTCCGAATACAAGGTTAGGTCAAGCTGCTGATGGCTTAAAAGTGACTCATGGAAGAACATGGCTGCTCACCGTCCACCAAAGTATCTCGGCCGGACTTGATCCGAGGTACAATGAGAGAGTCTAAGTCTCGAAAGCACATAACTGGTTGAGCCAGATCTCAGGTATCATCAAACGCAACCTTCCCCTCAGAGTGTAATCCTGTATGGAGGTGAGTCTTCCCGAACCCTGGAGTGACATCCACGGTTTAATTGAGACTGCTGGAGGGTCAAGACATTCCTAAAAATTATGCACAGATCTACTTTCCCTGCATCAGTTGCAGCCTGACAGGATCCGAAGACAGTCACAGCACTATCCGAGATTGAGTGGTTCAGCATATGAACAATGACATTAATGATGAACCAAAACATTTCCTGAACCAAAGTGAGTCAGTGAGTACATCACTAATTCGGGAATTTCACGAGATGGAGTGTGGGCAACAGATGCAGAAGTTATGTCAACAGCCAGTCTGTTAAAATGTGACATTTATATTTACAGTGCAGTTGGTCAGTCAATGCAATGGCTGATGTACCCTGCCAGCTTGAGCTTGAAAACTCACACTGATTATGCTTTGTATCTGGAAAATGTATCGGACCATTTCAATGTTGTAACCAGTGTTTAATTGTGTGAGAAGTACAATAAAATTATAGTAGTATCCTTAATCACTTGTTTTCTGTATGGGTATAATCTGGGCTAGGGGGTATACTATGGCCTAGTTCAGAATATAGTCTGGGACAGGGTATCATCACTTTCAGTCTATACCTTGACTTCCATTTCACCATGTTCAGTGTTTATCACATACACTAAAAGGAAAACAAGAAGACAAAGTCATCAATATCCCCAAGAAAAAATACTCTTCATGATTATGTCTACGAAGTTATGATTATGTCAAATACATAGGTGTGTATGTGGAAAAGTGGAAGAAGAGTATTGAAAGGTTTTAAAGCTCTGCTGCTGAAAAGAGCACTACCACCAATTTCAGTCTAAGTGAAACGTGTTGCCATGGAAACGCCAAAAATATTTTATTCAGAATTCCAAAACTACCAAAAGGCACCAGTACACCACCAGATATATGGATGCTATGTTTGGTGAAGAAACATTGAACGGTTTTAGAGCTCTGCTCTCGAAAAGAGCACTACCACTAATTTCAATCTAAGTCAAACTTGTTGCCATGGAAATGCCAAAAATATTTTATTCAGAATTCCAAAACTACCAAAAGGCACCAGGACACCGCCAGACCAATCTATGTGCCAAGTTTGGTGAAGAAATAGTGAACGGTTTTAGAGTTCTGTCTGAAAAGACAAAAGTGCACGGACGGACGGACGGACGACGCGACGCACGGATGGAGTCCATTTTAATACCCCCTAAAACGCTATGGGGATAATTAGAGGTTGTATTATTATCGCTACATGTCCAATAATATATCTGTCCACATTGACCCGGTCATTGACATTGATTGCAGTTAACTGGGTAGCCATGTTTGCTTACAAAATTAGACCATTTTTATTACTAAACATGTTGCTAAGTAAACGACGCCATATTGTTAATGAAATATGAAATGGAGCATAAAATAAGATGAACATCAAAATCTTGTAAGATTTTGTGTTCTTTTAAAACCCTCGAATCAGTGTGATTACAGCACGCGGTCAATTCATCAATGAATTGATGAAATATTATAAATGAATGTAGTGGTGTCAAAGTAGTTCCAACATCCAATGAAAATCTACAAATATACCATCGACCAATCTACTTTGAGAATTACTAAATTGCACACTGTGCAGATATCAAAAAGATATTACACGGATCTCCTCACCCGTGCATGGGTAATAATGTGAATGATCAAATGCAGTAGCTTTTATATGTGAATCTCACTCATTGAATTGCCAGTGAATTTGTTGTACATTTGGCAGTCGGAAAAGTATGTATTGCATTGTTGTAACAATGATGTATTCAGATGATTACCGTATTAGCATAATCACTTGTCTGTGTGTTGAATAACGCTTTGTTATTCAGAGTGAAATGTAATGCTGTAATCACTCTGTAAAGTGTAGTCATCCCGAGTGTGTAAAACTCGCTGTGTGTTGAATTAGAAAAATCAAATATATATTTTTGTATAGTGTCCAGGACAAGTGTGGTCCCCTAAGGGGCAGTTCCTGTGTGGTCTCTCCTCGCCTCGCCTGCCTTTGACTGACCTGCATGTACTCCGGCCAGGATGTACTGACACTTGACTCTCTAAAGCTAAATCTATTAACATTATAAGGAAATAATAAGAAAAACAAAATAAAAATGCTAATTATAATAAAACTACTTGAACAGCATTATCAGTTCATACCTGTGTCTGAGTCAATGAGAGGCAGGTGTTTTACATCGTCCAATGTGCGATCCTCCACACTGTCCATAATGCTGGCTTTATGTTGCAATCAACCTGAATCTTCAGCAGCCTCAGGTGTTTTGTGAGAGAACTTATCAGTCTTATGGCTGTCTTCAGAACTGGGTTTGTCCAATGTTTGTGGCCTGTCATCATGAGGTGATTCTTCCTCTCCATCAAAAACATTGTCTCTGTTTTGACTTGTACTTGCCTCTTGTGATTTTGAACCTGGATCAGCTGGAAGTGAATGTGACTGTTGCCTTTCCTGTAATGTTTTTTGAGTTTTAAGTTCCATGCCACTAAATTCATCTGTCAGGTTATTTACATCATCACTTCCATTACCAGCAGATGCCATTGTAATCTTTGAGCTTCCTTGAAAGAAAAAGGGAAAGAAAGAAGGACTCATCAGTTAACTATGATTATCAAGGCAAGAATATGTACAAACATAACAGAACTTCCATGGCACTGTAGCTCACATGGAGACAAAACACCAGCGCCTTGAGCATGCACTAGTGCGTGGATATGTGCCCTATATAAATATCCAATAATAATAATAACAAGAAGACAAAGTCATCAATATCCCCTGCCACGGCAAAATACTCTTCATGATTATGTCTACAAGTTTTGATTATGTCAAATATTTAGGTGTGTATATAGAAAAGTGGAAGGAGAGTATTGAAAGGTTTTTAAAGTTCTGCTCCAGAAAGCACTGTCACCAATTTTGAGTTTATGTCAAACTTGTTGCCATGGAAATGCCAAAATTATTTTATTCAGATATCCAAAACTACCAAAAGGCACCAGTACACCACCAGATCCATGTATGTGCCAAGTTTGATGAAGAAACATTGAACGGATTTAGAGTTCTGCTCCGAAAAAAGTGCACTACCACTAATTTCTGTTTTAGTCAAATTTGTTGCCATGGAAATGCAAAAGTATTTTATTCAGAATTCCAAAACTACCAAAAGGCACCAGTACACCACCAGACCAATCTATGTGCCAAGTTTGGTAGAGAAATAGTGAATGGTTTTAGAGTTCAGCTCCGGAAAAGTGTACTACCACCAATTTCAGGCTAAGTCAAACTTGTTGCCACGGAAAAGTCAAACTTGTCGCTTGTTGCCATGGAAAAGGCAAAAATGTTTTATTAAGAATTCCAAAACTACCAAAAGGCACCAGTACACCACCAGTACACCATCCATGTGTCAAGTTTGGTGAAGAAATATTGAACGATTTTAGAGTTCTGCTCCGGAAAAGACATGTGCACGGACGCACGGACGGTGTCCATTTTAATACCCCCCGCAAAACGCGTTGTGGGGATAATAATATGCAGTCGGCAGTTTTAAATGTCAAGTGAGTGAGTATGGTTTTACATTGCTTTTAGCAATGTTCCAGCAAAATCACTGGGGGACACCAGAAATGCGCTTCATACATTATACCTATGTAGGGAACCAAGTCCAGGTCTTCGGCGTGATGAGCAAACACTTTAACCACTAAGCTACCCACCATCCCTTGAAAATGTCGAAAAAGCCAGCCATTTAACAAATGTCACTGTCAGCACTGATGTTCAAATATTCTCAGCATAAATGACTGGGACAAAATATGTTTTAACTCAGTGACATTTGAGTGCTGTTTATAATGACATACTATATTTCTACATCGTACCCTCTTGTTCCATTCTAAGGTATGCATAATTCAAACTAGGTTACTAGTCATGCTATATGCAATATTACAATTTATTCCCATGTCTGGAGTGCAGTTTATAATGGCATACAATATTTCTACATCGTACCATTATTTAAGAAATACTCTTCGCTCTACCACCATGTATAGTGTAATAAAACTACTTTTGCCCTGAACTATTATAGTTAAAGCACAAGGACGCTTTGGCGTCCGAAAGTGCTTTAACGCTATAATAGTTCAGGGCTTAAAGTGTGTTTTATTACACTATACATGGTGGTAGAGCTTAACTGTATTTCTTTTCTAAGATGCCAAATTTAATACTTTCTAAGGATAATTACGATTAATTTAAGGCAGAAAACAAACGACGGTGTCTGTGACCTACATTAACAATCCTCGCGACAGGGCTAACTGGCTATTGTTCTATTGTTGTGTCTGCCCCTATGTTAAGACAACGTTACCAGAAAAAACAAATGATAACAGTTTGATGACGGGTTTACGCTCGCTTTAAATATCTTCTCTGAATTATTATAATTACATCTGTAATTAACGAAACCATATGGGGCAATATGAACGCTGCATTTCTACTACCAACGTAAGTTTAGATCAGTACATCCAGAGGAAGTTGAGTAGTCGTTGACATTCCACGATTGCATTGTGGGAATAAACCTTGGCGAACGCTACCGTGTCGCTGAAAACTTGTTAGTCGAAATGACACATTTTAACCGGTCGTAAAACATAAACATAATGTTTTCACCAGTGATGTCAGCTGCGTGAAGCAACAGCAAACCAAGAAACGGGATGCAACGGGGTAGTTTACTGTAGGAGGCCGTACGAGGCGATGACAACTGACATGCATCGTGACGTCGCTTACATTGTGACGTAATGTAAAATGGTTCGATCACGAGGGGGCACACTAGAATGGCGCAGTGACGGGAAAACGTCATTCAATTGTTACGTCATCAAAAAACTATACCTTTATTGTCTGATAATGTATTTTTTTTTCGATTGTTCTAACCGCTAGGCATCTTAGAATCCACTCTAATGTATGCATAATTCATGTACTATGTTACTAGTCATACTATCTGCAATATTACAATTTATTCCCACGTACTGAGTCATTGTTTACACCGGTCATATTATCTGTGGTAGGGTCACAGCTCCCGATGTTATTACCTACTATATCCAGGCTATGCGCGATGCCGTGATATTGTTAACTCAACTCGAAAGTAGGCACACGCGCTAGCTGCTTTCCTTCCACATTTCTCGCATTGCCATTGTGTTGTTTGTTCTCATGATACAGTGGTTTACTTTTGCCGCCCACCTATCCCTAAACCTTGAACAGATTGCAGATTGCCTACGGATATCGCGGCGTTGTTGTGATTGAGAGACTGCATCGCCAGTCAGGTGTTAGCAGCATGGAAACTCAGCCGCATAAAGACGATTAGCGCACGCAGCAGCACAGCAAGTCGAGCTGAATCGTCGTTCCAAGATGACGGGGCAGCAGGAGTAATACCCAACAGGCGAGAACGCGATACCGATCAACCGTTCCAGACACCTATGATCCCAATCCCAAGAATTGGTACGTAGGCCAATTATGCTACCGAATCAGCGAAGAAACTGGGAATTACGCATCTGCCATTTTCGATAGCAAAAGCACAGCTTCTGCACATCTACACAAAGAACATGCGCAATTTCACGCTGACAGGAAGTGATCGGCCACATTCGTGAACAGACAGCGGGACAGTGGTTATCATTCTTATGTGCCAACATTTCTTATGTGCCAACATTTGCATTACAGTAAAGTGTATATTATATTAGTTATCTCAGTACCAATCTTCAAGCGACAGTGGTTACCATTCTTATGTGCCAACATTTGCATTACAGTCAATGTGTATATTATACTAGTTATCCCAGTACCATATAACCTGTTGCTATTTTTCAATCATTAATCCATTTTTATTATTATACTGCTAGTCTTTGTAGTTGTAGCTCGTCCCCCCATTTACATGTCCAGCCTTATTGTGGGGGCTGGAAGTGGCAGTAGTTAGCTTTGTTTAGTTACTTCACAACCAATGTTCTATGTCCAATAATATTCCATTGTGGTATTATTTTCAGCAGTTCATGATAGTCTTACCAAATAGCGTGGTCATAGCGCTGTCATATAGATATCCATCCATATTGTTCAAGCCTGCTAGGCTACTTGTTACTTTTGGGGGATTCTCATTCTTCATAATTCATCATTTCATATGGAAGTTATCCACTCATTCAGGCGGATTATCTTTCCCCAAAATCTATAAGTACTATATACCTCTTGCTAAGGTATCCAAGCCAGGCATCCCTGCTAGTGGGAGCAATAGGGAGGCAAGCTACCCCCAACTGGTTTACAGCCTTCTATACGACAACTATAGTCATGTAACACTCTAATTACATGTACTCCACTTATATTACAAGAAGCCTGTCGAGCAACCCTCAAACAGGCTCTAATGCCTTGTTCTGGGCCTCGACAGGTTCCCTAATGATATACATGTCATACTCTAAGTACATGCTATATATCCAGCAAGAGAATGCCCCACTCCAAATATATATTGTGTAAATTATGTAAATAAACTTTGTAATGCATATCTCCTCTTGTGTTGTGTGTCACTGTAAATTATAACTCAGAGACATTTGAGTGCTGTTTATAATGACATACTATATATTTCTACATCGTACCCTTTTGTTCCATTCTAAAGTATGCATAATTCAAAGTAGGTTACTAGTCATACTATATGCAATATTACAATTCATTCCCACATCTGGAGTGCAGTTTATAATGGCATACAATATTTCTACATCGTACCGTTATTCCACTCTACTAACGAAAACATCTACATGTAAACAATTCATAGACTTCGAGCCCTTGAGGCTGTTCCTACAACAGTACTACAGTTACTTTACCCTCGTAAAACTCCACACAGAAAATCAAAACAAAGTGATGATAGTTTGTTAACTCATTAAGCCCGTGAGCCACTTCACTACTCAACACCTGGAACCCCTCGCTGATTGCCCTGCTCGCTGTTGCGAAGCTAATTAGTGCTATTCACACCTGATTTCCCTGGCAGGTTTCGGGGACGACTATATCCCACTGCATTACATGCCGGTGGGATAAAAATATGGTAGATGGGGGTCCAATGCATATGAATCCTCCATTCGTTTGCCAGTAATCATTTAGCACAAACTAACAGATATATTTCCTTTCACTTGTCTCACTCTTTTCAGTGTGGCTGATTGGGTCATCCTATATGGCCAGAGCTCAACGTTCGTCTGGGACGCTTTGGCGTTGTACGTGGTTCGTTCGTGGGGGGATGAGATGGAGGGAACTGGTCCCAATCTTCAAGAGGGAATGCGTCGTTCGACCCCATCCCGCGGTGCTCGTAATCCACCTCGGATCTAATGATATGGTACAGACCATGACCAGCCTTCTCTACCTCGACATCTTTGAGTCGCTGCTGCGGGTGCAGCTACTGCTGCCCAACACGAGGATCTTGTGGTCAAACATGCTACCGGTCGCCACAGGAGCTGGTGCAAGCCCGTCACTACTCGCCATTGAGGGGGCCATAAGACCCTCAACAGTCGGGTTGGGAATCGCGTGAGGGAGCTGGGGAGAGTGCAAATAAGGCATGACATTGAAAGTGCTGACAGTTTCATGTTTTCAT